AAATGAAGAAAAGGAGACTCAAGAGGAGAGAACACCGGCCCCCTTGGTGGCTGATGACAGGTGGGCTATGAGGGATTACGCTCCCTTCAGTTCTCCTGTACTCCAGCAGGATTAGATGAGGCCCTTCGCATCATCTGTTTCTCAGTTCTGTCTAGAACACACTCTTCTCCCCTCCAGTTGTCTAAATCCCAGTCGTCTAGAGACAGATCCTGACCTCCACTACCTCTGCAGGCCTGTGCTGTCTGCCTCTTGTTGTTCGGAACTTATAACTTCTCTTGGTTCCAGATTCCAGACCACATCCTAGCACACATCCTAGCTGAGTGATTTTTAGCAAGTTACTTAAGCTTCTCTGAGGCTCAATTTCCTCAGCTGCACAATGGAGATATTAATGGTTGCTGCCTCGTCGGAGTTAAGAAACTGAAATAAGAAAATGCCTTCAGAGCAGTTGGCACAGTGCTTAGCACATAAAATACACAAATGAAAAGCTAGCCATGATTATTATTCCCCATAAGAACATACACTGTAATTCCACATAAATGTCCAGAATTTATCATTCCTATTTTCCTCATTGCTAGTATGTCATTGTCACTGCAGGAAGGCACACAGCATGGCTCTTATGAACGTGGGCTCAGGGGTCAAACCCCCTGGGTTCAAACTCCGGCCATCCCACAACTAGGCTGTATGCCTCTGTGCACATTATGTAACTGCTCGGTGCTGGGTAATTGGTCATGTAGTGCAGTTGGCTCTTCAGCAAGGTAACTTCTGCTAAATTTGCCTCCTTTCACTCTGAATACCACACTAAGGAGTATAGACTTTTTTACTTAGAGCCAACAGGGAGTTTTGATCCAAGGAGTGGAGTGATCAGATGTGCATTTCAGCAAGATTACTTGGCTAGGTGTCCAGAGATGCCCCGAGCACCACAGATGGACAAGCATGGGTTTAGGAAGACCAATGAGAAGGTTAGGAATACCACAGGCATAAGGTGATAAATACATGAGCGGAGAAATGGATAGTCTCAGTGACAGTCCAGGTCTGGGAGAGAGGGAAAGAGTTGCTAATGTTAATGATGAAAGTTAATGAAGAAAGGCTACTGGCTATATTGTGATGTCTTTAACTTAACATGCGGTAGGGAAAAAAAATTCAGATGTGTGACCATAATGAACTAGTGATTGTAGATTCTATGAGACAGCTGAGAGGACCTGTTGGTTGTGCAAAGTGGAATTCTGGAGGGTGATGGGTGGGCGATATAAACAGGCTGCCACATTGTGGCTGAACACGGAAGTGGAAGAGCCATCCCCCAGAAAGCGTGCTGGGAGGAAGAGTAGAGGCTGAGGGCACAGCCACAAGGACCATAGCGGTGGAAGAGAGATAAGAAGTTTTGAAGAAGTGTGAGAAGTGTGAGAAGGAGCGAAGCTGTGGAACTCAGGGGAAGGGTATTGTTTTTAGACTACGGGCATGTCTACAAGGCTGGATGACAAGGAAGTCAGGGCAGAGGAAGGCTTCAAAACAGCCACAGGGTGTGATGTGGGGGAACCCCTGGGGACCTTCACGACAGCAGCTGTGCAGACCAATGGCCTGCTCCTTGTCTGGTAGCACATGGGGGTTACTCAGTACATATGAATGATGGTGTACAAATGTTCAACTGAAAGATCAGGAAAATGAGAAAGAAAACCAACAGGCATAGAGCAGAACTGCAGGCTGGTAAACATATCTGAAGAAGTGGAGAGAAACTCTCTCTCTCTCTCTCTCTCTCTCTCTTTTTAAATACAAATGCCGTAAGAACACAGCCCAGTTCGTCCCATCCCAGCAAGAATTCTTACCTGGAGAGACCAGTCCATACAAGTGACCACTCGATGCTTGGACCAATGCTCGTCGTAGAACTGACGATTGAAAGAAAGGTTCGCTCCAGCCTGGACATCCCTAGGAGGGTTTAAACATCAAAGACAAATATGGTGCTTCAGAATGGGGCTTTCTCTCTGCTGTTTGTACTGAAAGAATGAGATGGCAAGAGCATGGCCCAGAACACTCTCTGAGGGCAAAGCTTCAGTTCAGATGGTAAAGGCTGATAGCAATTCAAAGAGCGAATGGTGGCCTCCCTCCTGTATGAAATGCCGTTCCTAGCCTCACCCCGGAAAGGTTTCCACATGTTACTCCAAAGCTGGTATGAAATGTCAAGTGATTTTCAGGTTCTCATCTTGACCTCTCCCTCAAGTATTCGCTTCCTCCTAATAAGTTCTGTCTGAAGCGGAATTCTCTAGAAATCTCCCAGCTCTCAAGGGAAGCCCAGCACAGCTGGAGACTCTTTGATATCATATCAACGTCTCCTGAACCTCGCCTTAGATCAGAGGTGATGCGCATGCCTCCATCCACCTACGATTTCGGGCAGTCCGCAGTGTCTCCTCCCTGCTCAGCAGCAAGTGGTGTCACCATGACTCGGGCAGAGCGGAGGGTGCAGGATTCACCAGACTTATTAGACACTTAACATAGACCAGAGCAGCATCTGGGGCGAGGCATATACTTTGGCCAGTGTTTTCTTGGCTGATACTCAACTGGCCACAAAACCCCCTTTGAAGATCTCTGCACTGGTCATGCATTTGCTCCACGAGACTGAGTGCAAACTGAGTAACTTGGCTCGTTCTGTGCCAGCAGCTTTTGGATCTGCATAAAAAGCTGGCTACACTTCTTGGGCTTCCGTTCAGGAATTTCTCTGCTCTCACCTCTTTTCTGTTCCTCTGCTTTACCCCACTGGCGTGCACCCTGTATCACCCGCCTTCTATGGATCTTGTTCAGATGATGACTGGGCTCCAGACTACTTACTTGGGCTCCAGTCAGCTGACTGAGGACTCTTTTTTTTTTTCCCCTACTAACTCTTCCTCAAATCTATCACTGCAAACTCGGGCAAGAGGTACACACGCCCAAGTAACCCAGAGGGAAACAGGACCTGGACAATCAATTGAGCCATACAGCAATGACTTTTTCAAAGAAAAATAAAGCATCTCAGAACATGCATATTCAAAATATTGTCTCTTTGAAATAGCTGAATGCCGCTGCCAACTGGTTAGAACATTTTCAGAACCCCCTTTTGAAACTATTTTTGGAGCCTCTGTTATACTCCCTTGAGCATCCTCAATGATAATACATTGTCCTTTGAGAATTGTATTTGAATTTTAGAAATAGTCAAAAGTCAGGTCTACTGTATAAGGCAGGTGATCTCACCTTTTCATATTGTTCTCGACCAAAAGAAATCAGTGGCTATAAACTGGCTGTATTTATTTCTTACAAAGCTCATAAAGTACCAACTCCTTGTACCCCCACGCTGATGGCTGGTTACCCCTGCCCTTTACAATACATACATTACAGTCTCAGAGAAAGTCACTGGGGGTCATTTGCTTTTACTGATTAGTTTTTGTTTTATCTTTAAATATATCCCTGCACATGAGTGTCCTACAAGACATGTATACACGTATGGCCATGGTATCAAAAGAGGAGAAGGATTGCAGTCTCTGCTATTTTCTCCCCACACCAGTGGAGGGGTCCCATATCTCATGTTTATTTCATTTGGCTTCCTGTTTGCTTAGACATCAAAAATAGATCTACTGGATATAACAAAGCACCTTTGCTGCTTATAGGAATGTTTTCTCAGAGGACAATGTACGTGACTCTGCCAGTCTCTATCACCTGGACTATTCCCCAGATATCAAGTTCAAAAGCATTTCACGGAAGCACCTGATAATTACAGGGAAACACTAAGCCAGAAGTTATAACCAAAGCCTTTAGTCAAAGCTGTTCAGCAAGATCAACCCTGGAATTTCATCCTCCTCTGATTTGTTTGGTTTGGGATTTGCCTAGTCAATACATAAGTGAGTTTAGAATCAACAATAATTTATTGCAAGGTTTTTTTGTTTTGTTTTGTTTTTTAATGCACACAAGAAACTAACCCATCTTTTTCCTCTAACTCTCGACCGCTGTAGTCAAAGAAGATGTCGGAGTCTTCTGCCAGTGCTCTTTCAATTACCCGGATTGTCCGATCAAAAAATATGAGGAATTCCTCTGAATGAAGGATCTGCTGTTTTTCTTCCTCTGTCAGCTCTCGTGGAGGGGCTTTTTAAGTAAGAGATTGTCAGGAAAAAAGAAAAGTACAATTAAAACATTTCAAGAGGGATCCAAGTCTTGAGATGACTTACCAAAAGAGTGATCAGATGGTGAAATAAAGCATTATAAATATTGATTCCAAATTGCTCCTAAGTTCACACCAAAGGTGTTTGCAGATGACCCCCTCATAATTTTACAAAAATATCTCATATCTGGATGAATCACTATTTCAAAGAGTCAACAAAGAGTGCAAATGGAAATAGACTTGTGTTTTTTAGTAACCAGTTCTGAAAGTTACCTGCTTTAGAACTGAACTTGACAAACAGCTCAAAGAGTACGTAATAGAAAACTCGATAAAACTATGTATATTGGATATGACTGAAAGTTGCTCATGTGAAATAACTCAGAACTGTCTATAATATGATCTGGGAGGCAGCCTTCCTCACTCTCCTAGACACATCTGTTCTACCTCAGAGCGTCAGCTGGGAAGGCTGACTAGCTCTTACACAGGTTCCACTCATAACCAAAACGTGTCCTTCCAAACCTGCTTTCACCTGAGATATCCCCTGCTTTTAGACAAACATACAGAACAAATAAATGCTTCTATAAGACACCTCGAAATTGTTTTTATGCCTTTCTTTCTAGCGTGATGAATCTTATTAAACTAAGTTTGAAGATTAAAAAATGAGGCAAAGAGAGATGAATTAACTGGTTTATGTCACGGTGTCTGAAAGTCAGCTCACCTCGGAGTCCCAAGCAGCCGACACGGACTATCCCTAGTGGCAAGGCTTCCATACAATGAGAGAGAGAGGATTAGGTACTCCCCCAGACTGAGAAGCCCTCAAGCGTAGAAACTGTCTGCTGAACCTTTGTGGTTCTTCAGGAGCTCCAGTTCAGCTCCTGTGCAGGCAGCATTCAGTAGATGTTTGGTGGATTACTCTCTGGAGGACCAGAAGCTTCTGGAACTGAAGGGACAGGAGGAGGGCACGGCACTGCAGTCAGCACTGAGTCCCTAGCGGAGTCTCTCACTGACGGGCTTGCTCAAACACATCCCCAACCATCCCCGTCAGCCTTTCTACCTGGCCACCTGGTCAGAGGAGCCATGTAGGGTGTGGTCCAAGGTCAGCAGAATGTGTTACATTATTTGTTTCAGTTAACGGTATCGTGAAGCCACTGGCCTACGAAATCTGGGCTGTCAAGAGGAATGGCTGCAGAGCCAAGACAGTGGATCTCAAGTCTTTAATGTACGGAATGTCTCCCCCTTTCCGACCTCCACTTCCCTGCCCCCGCCCACGATGCCGGGGATCGGGAAGGACTCCAGAATCTGTATTTGTACAAGAAACCAAGATTATGATACTGTAGTTGGTCCACACCTTTCACAAAACTCTCCAAGGTCATACGATAACAAAACGTGATTCATCTACTACAGCAGAAGATTGTCTCCCAGAACAGTTGGCGCCTCATAGCTTGTGGTAGCTCCACACATAGTTAGAAATATCTCTGCTGCTGAAGCCTCCGGAGCCCTTAATAAGCCAATGCATACTGGGACTTTCCAGGAACCTCTGTGGAGCAGAACTGAGCAGAGGTGCCTACACACTCGTTTGAGAAACTGGGGAAGCAGCAATGTGCAGATGTAAGTAACAAGGACTCCACAAAACCAGCCGGGAATCCAGCGTTGCCACTGCTCTTCGCTAACTTTGCTTCTTTAGCCAACTAAAGCTCTCCGAGGAGCAGTTTTTTCTATAAAATGCGGCAATGATACCTAAACATTAAGTCTCATTTAAGGGTTAAGGATGAATATACTGGGCAAATAATTAAGTGTTCAATAAATAGTAATTAATTAGTCTGCTTTCTGTTTTAGAAAATGAGGCATTTGAATTTTTTCACCCTTATGTAAGTTCAAGAAAACAGGTAACCAGGCAAAACGAGAAAAAAAAAAAATCTACAAAATGCTAGGTTCATTCTGGTTTGGTAGTAGTGTTACATAATTAAATAAGCTTCACCAAAAGAGGGTATCGTAGAACTAAGAAGAGTGCCTTATTTTAAAAGCCTTTTTCAGTCTTGGTTACTGTTGATGGATGACTTGAGACCCATCTGAAATTAAGCAGAGAACTAGGACCTTTTTGTTTTTATTCTTTTTTAAAATAATATTTAAAATATCTATTCTCCTCTCTGTTTATCTTTTTGAGTTACTTCTATTTCACCTGTATCTTTCCTTACAGGTCCATTACCTTGAATAAAAAATCGTATCTATGTCATTTTCTGTAATTTTTTCTTCCCTATAGCTTATTGTCACTTTGATCTCAGCTTTCAAAACATACAACTTCTTCTCTAAGAGAAACACAAATGGCTGATCAAAGTGTATTTGCAGAGGCCAAGTTCAGGTAGGTGAAGCAGTAGCCTCTCCAGACATTATGTTTGACAATACAATATTTGGCTTGAAATTAAACTGCTACTGAAGCAAAACAAAGGATATATTTTATATTAAGCTTTGATGTCTAACAGGGATCAAATGACACGATTTGTTAGTACAAAATAATAAGATGCATGTGCAGACAAGTACTTTTTTGAAAGTCATAAACAATATTCAACGTAGGAATTAAATAGGCCATAGTCATTTTTGATAAACCCCAAGACCTCCCATATTTAAAATCTTTAAATTGATAAGTGTTGCTACAATGTAATGAAAACATAATGGAGTATCCAGGAACCACGACCAAAAGCTGTATTCAGAGGCAAAACCTGTCCAGACACCATATTTCTTAAAAGAAAATTGGTTGATTAATGGAACCTACAAGGTTCAAAATGCAAGCACAAACAATTAGAATCACAATCTATTACTTCAGAATAGACCCCAAATTCTCCCTGATATATGTTTCCGCAGCTTTTCTCTATCCCTGGCACCTAATGAATTATTTTCAACATGTTCACTGTATAAAAAGGTGTGAATTAATTTAATAACAAAAGGCATACCAGACCAAAATGTAAACATTGATAATCATTGATTTTTCTTTTGAAGTTAAGCAGAAAATGCTATTATTGCAGGTCTGTTGTTGTTTTTTTTTTTTTTTTGCAACACAAAACATGGAGTATTTCTGCCAAGAGCTAACAATATTTTATGCATGTAAAATGCCCTTTTTTAAAAAGAATTCCTTATGAAAAGTCAAACACATGGATATAACTAACATATGATCCAAATGACAATTTTGTACTTGCCCAAATTTACCTGAACAGTTACATTTAGCTCGAATCACAATTATGAAGAAAATGTACTGAATTCGTGAAATTTGAAGTTTAGAAGATGGCCTAAGTCTATGACTTTGTGGTTGCAAGATTAAAATCTAGTATACATTTTATGTTAGGGTCTATTTTGCTTCTTTTTCTTTAAAGAAATGTGAATTTCTCACTTCATATATGGAAATACTTGTGTATGTGTCTTTATGATGATTCTATCCTATTTGCTATACTTTCTTGGGTTTTTTAATTGAGTTAATAAGTACTTCTCTAGTTTGTTGTTGTTGTTTTACTCTACTTACTATATTCTGTATCTTTGGTTTTGCAGTTTAATTTTTTTAAATACAAAATTCATAATGAAATTCACAATTCATATTAAGTATTTTACAATCCTTGAGGTCAAAAACTATTTTAAAAATACTAATTTCAGAAATGTCTTGTTTTCAACAATGCAGCTTTGAGTTTCAATATAAAAAATTAAATCTTTCAAATATTTTTCAAGAGCTTATGTAAAAGACAAAAAATAAAGAAGTTAAACGACATAGCTTAAATCTCAAACCTGATTAGACAGGGACAGTGGCTCTTCTGGGAATTTTACAGTGAAATCATTTCATAAACAGGAGCAAGAAAACCAAACCCAACTGATAAAGAAGGCTCTCCTTCTCTGAAGTTAATGTGAGATTTATGAGATGATGTGTGTTTACAAGAGTTAGGTTTCCGAACTTTGAACATGGAGATACCAGAAAGCTCACATGTAGAAATCACCTAAAATTTGATTAAAAGCTAACTTGTACCTGCTGTTTGTGCTACTCCATTGTGGAAAAAGGAGTGAAAACAGGAAAATATCAAACCCTTATTTCTTTACCATTTAGTGCATTTTGATATCACATAGGCAAAATGTCAAAACCTAGTGAGCACTGATTTTTTTTCCCCATCTCCTGTTTACCATTTTTTTTTTAACTCCCCAAAAGTCCAGATTTCTCAAAAATGTGTTTCCTGGTCTAAAACCGTGTATGTCAAGTTTCAGCTCAGAGCAAATTTTTACGGCTGAGTAATAAATCGCTGAAACTCAAGGTTCGTAAGGGAAGTGCTGACACAGCCCTAACGACCATACAGCCGTGGGAATGGCGCCACGATTATATCTGCTGGAGATTCTTGAAAAAGTTTGCAAAATACTGTCTTACTTAAAAAAAAAAAAAAAAGCCAGAGAATTTGATGCCAACATAAACATGCTTTTAACCCATTATGTGCTAATTTGCAGAAAAGCCATTAATAGAGAAAAAGGCACACGGCGCAGCAGTCCAGGAAATGTACTTCCAACTTCTTTTTGACTTTTAACAGGACTTTAATCAATTCCATGAAGCCTGAGCAACAGTTGAAACGAGAGGGTGTTTTCTCTCTCTGAACTTAAGAAAGGGGTTGCACTGCTTTGCCAGAGAAGACAGTTTGGGGAATGGGGGGTGGAGGGGGCAGGAGGGAATCTGTGCCAAGACACACAAAAGACACCACGGCTCTTTATCACCCAGAAGCGCTTGAGGATATTTTGCAAAAGGAAAAATCTTTTCTCTATTTATTTTAATAAATCCTGACTTATTTTATCTCTTGCTATACCTGTGTTAATGATATTCCATTTGCCAGCTTAAAAAAATGTTCTTAGAATTTTAGGCAAAATCTCTTCAATCAAATGCATTTAGAGTCCCTTAGAAAACAATAACTCTTGCACCTTCTGTGGATACTACAGTTAAAAAGGCTGCCTCTACTCCCTGCCCTTAGTTGTAGCCCAGAACTTGACGGGAATCAAAATCACTTAATGCCTGAGCCAGATAAAGTGAGCATATATGGCCATTATGTACCCATTCTTATAAAAGTCCCCAGTGACAGCTATGTGCCACACACTCTGGCAGAGCCACAGGCATCTTTAGAATTTAGAATTTAAAAATTAGGGAGCTTCTAATCAGACTTGTGTTGATCTATACTTGGGACATGGAGCAGGGAATGTGGAAGAAGCTTTTCAATCTATGCATACCTCATTTGTCAGTAAGAACGATGATTTCAAAGTTCTTTTATCTCTGAGGGCCGAGAATCTCAAAGGGATACAAAATTAGATTTTTAGGGAATTGGCACCTGTAGTAGTTCTTGTCTTCCCTTGTCTTTTTTCTTTTTGCTTTCTTGTTTTTGAGACCCAGTGCTACGACAGGATGACACCGTCATGGTGAAATATAGTCTTTGGAGTCAACTACAAATCCTGGATACATTCTGTCTTCTTGGATAAGTTTTTAAACCTCTCCCTTCCTGGTTCTTCACCTGGAAAGTAGGGATAAAAATAGTATCTGCTTCCAAAGGATGTTTGGAGGTGTAGATATTAATATTTCTAAGGGGCTTAGGAGAGAGCTGGGTACACACGAAGCCCTTAATAAATGCTTATCATGGTGATCACTGGAACATGCAGAGGTTGCTCTTCACACAGGCAGAGATGTGGAACAAAACTGTGAACAGCTGAGTTATTAGTAAGGATCACTGTTAAAGTTTCTGTGTAGCTCACGTGAATATACTTCAGAATTTATGAACAAAATAATTAGCGCTGCTTCTTCCCTTTACTGTTATCGTTGGGAATACACAATGCAGTGGACAAAGTCACATGACAAAGTAACAAAGTAACAATGGGTAACAACTATCTTATTCTCTCACCATTTAGTAATAATTTTACTGGAATTGTGAGTGGACTTGATGCTGCATTTGTGGGTGACTTCTATTTTATTTACTTTCATTGGTCAAAAAAATAAATGACCCTTGCTATGGGGATTACAGTTTATGGTAGTAAATATAATGTACTGAACAACCATAGAAAACCTTCCGTAGAGGGAGTGTGTATTTAATATTTACTCACCAGGACAGCCTCTCATGTTGCTAAATGATACTAATAGTAAAATGATGACTAATTTATCTCCCACACCATACCATACCTTCCTTCACCTCCTGTTTTTGGTCTTGGTTTTCCAGTTCAGAATCATGGCCAACTTTAGGCTCTACCATTTCCTCATCTTCCTCATCCTCTAGAAAAGAGAAAGAGAAAAATGCATTGTTTTGTTTCCTTCAAGTCAAAGCCTTTGGTTGATGGTGGGAGGTAGGGGCAAAGGGTAAAGTTCCAATCATTTAGGGCAACTTCTAAGTAAATCAGTCTTCAATGAATGCCCAAGATATATGTCCATGAATATATGAATAAATTATCTCCAAAAGGGGCCTCTTTGAAAGTCCCCCCAAGCTGCTGAGAAAACTGCCCGAGTCGGCACCTGCCAACAGCCATCTCCAGGCCCTCACCACATGGGCTGTCTTGGAATTGCCTCTCTGACCTCTGAAGCTTCTTCAGAGATGACCCAGGAACAGATCTCAAAATGCTTCCACCTGGGGCACATTCTCTACAGGGAACACCTGCTGTACAGACGATTCATTTCCAATTTAATTCTCACCAAATTAATTTGTTTTTGACCTACAGGAAAGGGTTAAATACAGGTCTGACCCCAGGTCAAATGCCATTGGCAAGTAAACAACCAGGGGGGGAGAGTCCCAAAAGTCACTGCTGTTGGCCTGGGAGAAAGCAACCAACCCAGAATGGCATTTACACATTCAGAGCAGCTCATGCATTAATGTGAATTTAATGAGCACCAACAAATGGACCAGTCCGCTACCACCGCCAGATGTTACAGTGCCCTTCCTGCCCTATGCAAATGTGTGCTCATTGTGTCTGCTCTCAACCTGCCTTTCTTAGAGGCCCCTTTCACTGCAGAGCGCTTGAAACCATCAGTCACCATGTACACGATGTAGGGGAGAGTCAAGGTGTCACAAGAAAATCCAACATATAGAAATAAAATGCTACCAAAAATTAAAACTTGCTCTCGGAATTTTTAAGTATATTATCTTCTGTCCTGAGTATTATATTCACTGGAGACCATTGATTTCATTGGTTCAAATGGAATTTAAAAGAAATGAATTCACTGACTCCCTGCCCATTCATTCATACAGTCACTCATCCATCAAATATTTACAGACTTTTTGTAAGATTTCAAGCGCTGTAGATAGTCCCATTTCCGTGATAATAAATCCTGAGATTTACATCAACTCAAAATTTCAGCCCAAATAAATATGTGTAGCCTGAAAAGCAACTCCAAAAATCTGGCTACATCAAGCAAGTGATTTGGGAAAGAAAAGCAACTTAAAAAATTTGGATGTGTAGAGTATGGCACTGCAAATTAGATACTAAAATTTTTTTAATGTGTGTATTCATTGCAAAAAAGGTACTCTAAGTGCATGTGTATAGAATGTGGAACCAAGCTCATTACTTTATAACCACACATTGTACGCATCAGAAAGAATGTGAAACACTTTTAAGGAAAATGGTCATTTATTATTTAACACACGCAATAAAGAGTTGCACTTGAAATTTTGAAAAGAACCCTGAGTTACCCTGATTTTTAGACAAATAAACCTTTAAAGTTATAAACAGCACATACGGGTCCTTATCTATACACAAAGGTATTACAGCTATCTACCCATTAAAAACCTGCTTGGAAAGTCTCAAAACAGTCACCTGGCCATCATGTACCCTAATCCAACAACCTAACACAAAGCCTTAGAAGGCACTAGCTGAAGGCAACTCTCCTCTTTTTGCTAAACCTTGGTTGGAGGGGCAATCTTCAAAAGGCCACTCATTTGCTAGAAAGTTGCTCTATTTCTGAACCTTCAAGAGACATTTCCTTAAACTAATGGATTTAGCAGCAATGCCCCGACACTTAAAAATGCAAGTAAATATAACTACACAGGTGATAGGGCCTGCCTTTATTATGGGTAGAACCTACCCCCCCCACAAACATCTTTATGTTGAAGTCTTAATCCCTAGAATCTCGGAATGGGATGGGTTTGGAAATAGGTTCATTGGAGATATATTTAATTAAGACGAGATCAGACTGGAGTAGGGCGGGCTCCTAATCCAATATGGCTGGTATCCTCATAAAAAGGGGAAATTTAGACACAGGCTCACACACAGGGAGAATGTCATGGGAAGCTGAAAAAGATGGGCACAATGCTTCCAGCAGCTAAAGAGAGCCCAGGAATGCCAGCAAACCATCAGAAAGCAGGGAGCAGGCACAGAACAGCATCTTCCTCACAGCCCTCGGAAGGAACCAACCCTGCCAACGCCTTGCCCTTGGCATGCTGGCATCCAGGGCTGAGATGTTAGGTTTCTCCTGCTTAAGCCACCCCAACGGTAGCACCTTGTTAGGGCAGCCCGAGCGAACTAATACAACCGGTAACTTGCCTTCCTTTCTAGGACCCTAGGATCTGATGGAGGAGATACAGGAGCTGTGCGATAATAACACCTAGGGCAATCATGAATGCTTTACCTGCAAAGTCTAATTTGTTTATCAGAACTTGGTTCCATTGACCTCATTTTCTAGAGAATGAGACAGAATAATCTGTCCCAAAGAAAGCTCCCAACCACATCAAACTTCAAGTTCGGTCTGGTTCTGCCTGTTTAGGAGCTTCGACCATCAGGCATACTACCCCCTCACCCACAGCCTGACGTGCACTAGAAAGGCGGCCTTGGAGAAAGGCTCACAGTAGAAGCGGGTACGGTGTGAAGGCGGCAGTGTAAGGAAGGGTTTGCATAGGCTCTTCGTGGGGGACACAGCATGACCTTAAGGAGAACGGCTCTTTACCTCCAACGGGCAGGTACACGTAAGGCTCAGCTGCGGAGAAGTTAGGTTTCACATCCTTGAGAGCTGGAGATGATGGGTTGTTTTATTTATTAAGAATAAATGGCCGCTGCATCCAAACTCTATGCTCGTCTTCATTTCGGAATCCATTAGCTCGAGACCAGACCAGTGATGTCTAACACAGAGCACTAATTCCTCTGGCTAGACGCATTCACAAGTCAGGTGGGGAGCAGCACCTCAAGGGAAGTAATTGATCTGGGATTGAGGCTGGAGTCTACCTCTTGCTAAACCCTTGATCTTACATAATTCATAGAAACTCAGAGGCCCTGTTTCTTCATCTTCTGAATTGGGATAATCATTCTTTCTTAAAACACAATGTTGTAAGAATAACAAAATAAAATAATTGATGGGAATTTGCTTTTTAAACCAAGAGAGTTGGGGATACCCGTACACGGAATCCTTCAAACAAATGTTGCATTAGTTGTAGGTCAACCAAATATTTATCGGGCACCTACTTATGTACCTGGTGCTGGGAATACAAGAGGGAATAAGAGAAACCAAACCAAATCAAACAAAAAACCTCTGTGCTCATGTAGCTTCTTCTATCTGAGGTAGGGGAGAAAAACCACAACAAATAAATAAAACACATATTGTATCAGATAAATATTATGGAGAAAGAGAAAGCCAGAAAAGGGGATTGGGCATGCTGGTAAGGGGAGGAAGAGTTGAAGTTTAAATCAGAGTGACCAGGAAAGGCCACATTGAGGTGACATTTCAGCAAAACCTTCAAGGAGTTAAGGGTGAAGATCTTTTGAAAGACTGATAATAACAGATTCTTCCATCTTATTTTGTGGATCCAAGGGGTATAATGGGTCAAGATTTAAGTGAACTTATCTGTTCCACTGATGAAAGAATTGCCAAAATTAATTTTGCTTTTATCAGAGTGATCTGTTTGTACATTACCATTTTCTAGTTCTTTTTTTTTTTTTTTAATTTATTTATTTGACAGAGATCACAGGTAGGTAGAGAGGCAGCCAGAGAGAGAGGAAGGGAAGCAGGCTCCCTGCCGAGCAGAGAGCCCGATGTGGGGCTCGATCCCAGGACCCTGGGATCATGACCTGAGCTGAAGGCAGAGGCTTTAACCCACTGAGCCACCCAGGCGCCCCACCATTTTCTAGTTCTTAAAATGAAATCAGTTTCACTGCATGACTTGAGTAAGTCAGCTCTAAGTAGTATCAAGTTCTCACCTTTTGCAGGTATAATGGTCTTTATTTTAGACATTAAGTCCTGGAAGAGTCAAAATGACAGAAAATTGTCTATAAGGGGGCACCTGGGTGGCTCAGTTAGTTAAGTACCAGACTCCTGATTTTGGCTCAGGTCATAACTTAGGATCAGGGGATTGAGCTCCAGGTTCAACACGGGCTCCACGCTCAATGGGGAGTCTGCCCGAGATTCTCTCTCTTGCTCTGCCTCTGCCCCTTCTCACACCCTCTCAATAAATAAAAAAATAAAATCTAAAAAAAAAAAAAAAGAAAGAAAGAAAATAGTCTAAAAGGGCTTGGCTATACACAGGGCTAGGTTGGGGACAGAAATGTGTTATTTCACACATGAAGTATGCGGGGAAACCGCAGTTATCTAACTATTTAAATAGAAAATTCTTCCCCAGAGAATATGTTTCTGATGAATTTTAAAAAACCAAACACTTACTGTGTTTATAATATGGGCAACGTCCCACAATGAAATACTATGAATAACAGAGAAGCAATTTTTTTTAAAAAAGGAAAAAAGAATACCTGACCTTTTAAAGTGGTTACAAACCAGTTGTAGGCATTAATTTTTAGTGGCCGCAGAATTCTTTGTCTATCAGCCTTTTAAAGACACAAAGTAAGTGTTTCAGTAGATTTGTTCAGGAAATAAAACACAAGAGACTGGTTCGTTTCTCTGCATACTGATATGTTTGCCTTGCTCAGCAAAGAGAGTCTATTTTTCTTTAAGACTCTGGTTTCCTTTCTGGGGCAATTGGAATTACTTCTGTTGAAACCGTTTTCAAAACAGTTAAATAACTTTAAAGAAAAGGATTTATGTAGACCCACTACAGACTACTGATATATGAGTTGTGCCACTAGTTCATACCCGGTTACATTTCCTCTGAGATTGGAGGGAAAAAAATTACCACCCATGTATGGTTTCCTGTACCAGGTCCACACGAGAAATTAAACTAGTGGCAGAAGTTAATTACCTGTCAGTCTGCGGGGCTAATTTCAAACAATGGCATCTTTTAGACACTTTATTTTATTTAGCACCTGGGTTCCGCCATCTACAGCGGCTGCATTCAGTCCTTCATAGTTGGGGAAATCTTTGGTAACCACTGTCCTCCTCCTTACAGTTTCTGAAAAGCCCAAGAACGAAGAGTTGCGTGTCCAGCGGCACTCGCACGTGACACACTCAGTGCGAGGCCCTAGCCTCTGTGCGAGCTCCCGCAGTGCTGTTTGCTCTGCCAACCTGCGTTTCAGAATGAAGCCAAAGCTCCAGTCCTCCAGTCCTGCTCTGATGGCCTCAGCAAGCCGCGACTCTGGAAGGGGGCGTGGTGAACGTCTGTCACTCTTGGCAACGCAACCTCAAACCCCCTTTCTGTCTGGGGGTGCTCCTCTTGTACTGTTCTTGTGGTGACATGCTGAACCCCTAGTTTCTTCTCCTGAAGCCCCAGGGGAGACACCTTCCTGTTCCCCATCTCCCAGCGACCAGAATGCAGGCAGGATCTCAGCAGTCAGAGTGGACGCTCCTAACTGGAACTTTGTCTCTGGAGCCAGGAGCCGAAGCCAAGGGAACAGTGAAGATTAATTTCTGGCAGCATGCCGGAGTGGCAGCACTGTCCCAACATCCTGGCCAGGCTGTTCCAGAGGTCCACAGTCTGCGTTCCCTTGGTCTCTGCTCCGTTTTAAGCCCATTCCTTCTGCCTCCTGTTGATCCTGTGAGCACCAGACTTCCTTCCAATAAATCTCACCAGAGGTGATGTCAACACCAGATTTCCTTCCAATAAATCCCACTGGAGTTAGTGCCTGCTGCTTGCAACCAGAACCCTGCGCAACACAGGGCGGCCCTCTGTGAAGAAAAGGGCTTGTTTTTATAAGGTCAATGGGTTCTCACTTTCCTCGGCTCTCTCAGGGCCTGCAAAAACCCAGGCTAAGAGGGCCTGAGGGCCCAGCCCTCGCCCTTGCTGCCTAGTTCCTGGCCTTTCACGAGGGGGCTCGGGCCCCCTCCATGTGTCACTTCATGGAAGACGAAGTCTGGTCAGGTGGAGGAAGGCTGGGGAGCAAAATGGGCTGTTTCACTCCATCTTTCTCAAGTCCAAAGGACATCTTGCCGAAGGGAAAGACGCAAAGCAATACCATGTGACTTTGACTAGAGCAGGCAAAGGACTCTAAGATGCAAAATGACTTTATGTGCCACTTAGAAAAACAATGACTGCTAATTTAACTATAACACATCATCAGTTTGAATGTGAAAAATCGTAAATGCTGGAATGGATAAAATAATTTGTGGCTTAGAAAGGAAGAGAAAGTAGTTTCCAAAAGATAAAAAGGATGGCAAGGACACAGAATCAGATCTAAATCGAGCCTGTGACTGTGCTGCTGTCGGTGAACAGACCTGAAGAGAGGCAAAGGCACTTTTTGTGTTTTGGTTTTTTTAGGTGTATTGCTTTCAACTTAAGGACAGATGCCCTAGCTACTATAAATATTTCTGATGATGACTATTTTAAAAACATATTTTAAATGTTTCAATAGAAAAACAAAGGAAAATAGGAACAAAGAAAAACAGAAAAATTAAGATTGATTCTCAACTAAAAAATAATTCCCTCTAATGACGGTATTCTTTGCAGTTCCGCCCTTGCTCTCATCTTTTCTCATATCCAATGCTGCTCTGGATACTACATCCACCCACATCTTCCATCATCACCCACAAATTGGTATGTCCAGCCAACATATCCCTTCCAGTCTCCAGAGTCTATACTGTGCGTTCCAACATGAGCAGCGCACAGGTACCTCACACCTGACATGTTCCAAGCAGACCTCCTACCTTCTGTGCAGACCTGCTTCTTTGATTAGATTCTCTACCCTGCTAAATGGTACCACCATTCACATGAGTTCCCAGCTGGACACCAGAATACAAACCACCTTCAATTTCTCTTTGGCATCAGGGCCTGTAAGAAGGAGACCCTAAGTCCTTTCAATTTTGCACTACCAGTCTTATTTTATATTTCTGGTAGTTCCACTGTGTTATTTAAAAAAAAAAAAACCACATCTATGTGTCCTTTCTACACACACACACACACACACACACACACCCTCTATAACACCCTAAAAATGTTAGTATAAAATCCCATAACTCCTTCTTGTATTTTCCATCTCATCTTCCATTCTGGACAATGCACAATCACCCAGTGTCCTGGTAGGTTCATGCCTCAAGAGCACTGCATGTAAATCTTTTGTGTCTGGGTTGGTCTTCTCGTCAATATTCAGGAGGTAATTATCACTAGCCCATGCAGGCAATTCAGGGGCTTTAACACTTCCTCCCAACAAGATTTGTTGACTCTTTCACTGTTCCACCACTCTACCTCTAGGGCACATCCCAGACCACCTGAAATTAAGTTTATGCACCTATCTCCACAAGCAGACGAAAAATCCCCAAAGACCTCTCTTGTTAGGATCATCAATATCAAGTACTGAGATGAACGACATCAAGACAGGTGTTTGACCTGGAAAGATAGTTATGAACCACATCATGTAGGACCTTACATGACAGAGCAAGTTTGGACTTCTTTCTGGAGATCAGTAGCCCCCTTTTAATCAACAAAAATCTCATTTAGTCCACATTATTTAAAATTTCAGAAGGAATTCAAGACACTGGTAATGACAGGTATGGCTTCTGAAACCTCACTTATCTCCTGCCCAGCCAGCCCTTTATGCACATTCTAATATATTCAAGAGATGGCCTCCTGATAAAAATTATTGTTGCCAACCATCCCTACAGGAAAACCAGAGCCTTTTAAAAACACAAGAGAATAGGTCTGATTTTGTTTAAGAATACAGAGGTTGGAGAGTATTGGGGAAGCCTGGAATGAGGGAGACAGTAAGAAGGGAAACTAGAGATGGAGCCCAAGCAGCAGACGATGAGAACTTGTCCTAGGAGGGTTCTGCTGCCAGTGGGCACGAGGAACCGGACTGAATTTAGACATGTGTTTATACAGCAGACAGTGAGGGCTCTCGCACAGAACTCACAAGTCACCCTAGCCTTGGACCAACTTTGTGTACAGTTAGCCAACTTTGCCAGGAGTCCAAAGAGAGCCACCCTCCCGATCTGTACCACGGAGGCCAAAATAAAGTATAACGCGCACCACTGAATGCTTACACAAACCAAGGTGAGCCTCTGTGCTTTAAAAATATGCAGGAAAGACATATTTTGTGGGATTTTCAGTAAGCACTTTGTTAAATATACTACATGCTAATATTTAAAAAGCCTTCACTTTCTGGTCTAGAAAAATCTGGCCAGAGTAAAGAAAACATACATTTCTCATCGTACAGAGCGCTCCTGTTAGCACTGTAGGCCACATCAGTTCTCTCCTAAGGCTCTAACATGACAGTACTTGGAAAGCGTACTTCCTGGTGGAATGGCACCCAAGGCATTGCAAATGGGAGGAAATGAAAGCAAATGTTCAAAACGGAGAGGAAGCCAGAGAATAGTAGTTTTTAGCAGCTGTTTCTGCCACTCGTAACTGTGGCTGATAGATAACACGTATGCAGTAAATATGTGTTGAACCAAGATGACGTGGGTTAGCCAACTTGTATGGAAGGATGGAGACCAGGAAGAGAACGATGCCCTTCTTGGAGATGCCCAGGTGGGAGCCCATGGGTAACTAGACCATCTGATGTTTGGTTATGGGAAGGCTTGATTGATCCGTATTTCCATAAATTTCCCTTGTTAGAAACCTTGAATAGCCCCCTAATGCCTAAATTGGCTCAGCATTTAAGGCCTATTCCCATCTCACCCCAACTTAATTCTCCAATGCTGCTCAAAGACTAGTACTTGACTCCACTGTGCATGAAATGGCACCCTCCGTCCTCCCCGTCTTTTGTCTTTTATAATTTTCCGGCCCCCATCTCTTCAAGCTTCTGCATGAAGTCATGGAGTCTTCTGCCACAGATGAGAGCAGCTGGATGGTATAGAGAATGGTAACACAAATAAATTCACCTCTAATGGCAAACTAAAGCAGGACCTGAGAAAGAGAAAGATTTTGAAAGAGTGGGGCCAACCCTCAAATCAGTCCTCTGTCCTGCCTTCTTGGAAGGTTTGTTGACCCTTTCACTGCTCCACCAGTGTTTCTTGGAAACACAACCGTCCATTGCGCAGCTCCAGAAAGCAGCCTTCCCCTTGGGTTCCATGTGAATATGGGACTAGGGGTTCCTGGAGTTGTATAGGGCACAGACTCTATCCTCAATAACCTTATCTGTATAGATGTCTACACACACACACACACACACAAACACACACACACACACACACACATATGCTCTGGGCATTAATTAAAAAAACACTTGCAAATGTCATTCTTGGCTGCTTGGAAAGGGAGAAGCTCTAGTTTCCCTTTTTCAGATTTAAATCCCTTGTGCTAACTACTTTTCATTTTGGATAACCTTATACTCTATTTGTCTCCTCTCCCATTTTTCCAAATGTGCAATCTCTGCACTTCCTCCTGGTAGGAGCACTGCTTGCGACAGGAAAACGGGGCTCCCGGGGAGAGAGAAGTCATCATTTTTACTTTGAGCAGCAAAGGCAGATACGTCCCAGAGGAAGGTAAAGCTCAAGGTCTCCAGGTACTGAAACAGTTATTGCGTTATGGTAAGTAGTAAAAACAGAGAAAAGTAAGTAAAAGTCATTTAGAAACATTGTGTTGCCTATAAAGAAATTGTTCTTAAGGAGAAAGTGCTGTCTCCCATCTCTAAGAACTGGCAGCTCTGACTATTAATGTCAGAGCAGCTGTCACATCAATCACGGCACATACAGGTCACCCATCGGTACACGTTCTCTAGCATTCCTTTTCTTCACAGGATCAAATCTTGTTACTTCCATCTCTTTGACTCTCTCACCTCCAGCCTTCCTCTTTGCTGAACCTTGCTACAAACACCACAGTCTGATGAGCACAGAACTGTTTCTGTACATTTCCTAGCGAAAGCCTTGAGAGTTCTCATCACATGCAGAATCAAAGCTGGCTTCCTGGACCACATCTTCCAGTCCTCTAGGGTCTGGCCCCACCATGTTCTTCTTGCCTGAATTTCCTCTATTGATACTGTGTCTGCTACCCTAACTTCCACATTCTTTCCACCCTCTGGTTCATGTTTCTCCCTCCCCTAGACTCTCTCCTTTCCTTCCTTTTACAAAATATGAGTACTTAATTATGTGTCCGGCACTCTTCCAGGTGCTGGGGACACAGGCGGGGAACAAGACAGACAAAACTTCCTGCCTTCATGGAGCCTGCATTCTAGAAGAGGTGAGAGATAGTGGCCAAGATAAGCAATGAAAGTCTGTGGAATGTGGTAGGTTAGGGAATTTCAAGAGCCAAGGAGAAAAGCAAGGCAGGAAAGAGAGTGGGTATCACGATTTTTACACAGGTAGCTCGAGAGGTCCGTATGGAGAGATGGCATTTGAAAATGGGCCCCAGGGAAGTGAGGCACCAAGCCCTGTGGATAGGTGGGCAAAGCATTCTCGGTAGAGGAAGCAAAAGCACAAGGGCAAGATTTTGGCTAGAGTGCCCCTGAGGCCTGAGATACCTTCATATCTTCCCCACCTGTAAGATCCAGATTTACTTTAAGGTCTGACTCAAATGACCTCCAGGTCATCAAATCTCTCCTGTTCTCCCTTACTGGAAGGGATTTCTTCCCCTTTGAGCCCTTCAAAGCCCTTCAGTTGGGTATCTTTACTACTTTCTCCTCATCCAAAGAACTACTATATATTTAAGATGGTGGCTTTTCTCATTCTCCACTTTATCTACTATGTATTTAAGTAGGACATCCCTGTGCTTTTATGTGTTTACTTCTCTACCCAAGACTCTACATCTTTACATTTCTTGGGAGAAGGACACAGTAATTATTCATATTTATTTACCCCAGTATGGTTGTTAAGTTTTTTTGTTTGTTTGTTTTTGTTTTTGTTTTTTTTTTTACTGTTTGAAAGCAAATAATCTCATTTTTTTAGTTCTAAAGAGTACATTTTCCCAGTGGTTTCTCATTGTTTTAGCTGGATCCCAAATCTCCTCAATTCAATCTCAAATTGTAAGGTTCCTTTCCTTGATCACTAGGTCTCGTCATCACTGACAGACTCTTGAGTATTTATTGAAAAGGTCATGGTCCTTTGTTTCTTGTCCTGGTCCTTGGTCACTAGATATTTACTTGACACCTAATATATGCTTGGATCTCTTCTAGGCATCATGGAAAAACAAGAGCTATCAATTTCTCAGATCATAGATGTCAAGCTTTGTGGTAAATGTCTTATGTCAATTAACCTATTTAATCCTCATAATAACTCACCGACGCAGACACAGTGAGTTCTCTCTACACAGGAGGAAACTGGGCTTAAAACGGGAAGACGATCTGACTCAGGTCATGGAGCTAGAGGAAGCAACAGAGCCAGGATTCAAACCCATGTTCTCCCAACTCCCAAACTCTCTCAGTTTCCTGCTAAATCCTACCAAACCGCACAAAGGA